TGCATAAATCATTAACAAGCGCCCGCTCCCCTCACCGCAGAAATAATAACAATAATGCTAAAAACTGCAACAAACCGATGGTTGCCACAATGGCCCCATGTGAATGCCGCCCAGTCGCAATCAGCAATAAACCACTTCCCGAGCCTCAGACCCTCAACCTCTCGTCCCTCGGGGTGGCAGCCACATGTGCAACCGATTACAGGCATTTCCGGCAATCAGTTTTTAGCGCCCCCGTATTTTCAAAAAGGATAGTTGTAATAATTCCTCAAAATGTACCCAAAATTCAATTCAATTCTCAATCCCGGACCATCGATATCCTCGGGTCGTGACAGTCCCAGCAGTCAAACGATTGTGTTGTGCCGTCACGCGCTGCCCCGCAACCCGGTGGAAAGCAGTCAAAATTTATGGTCCCTGTCATAGATCATCACAAATGACAGTCGCGGGAGCCAAGCGATTGGCAGGAGCTTAGGAGAAGTGGGGCGAAGTGGTTGCCATGCGAGTGTCGGCTGGGTTGTTAGAATGGGGGTGATGTGATTTCATTTTGACTTTTGAATTTGAATTTCTACACATTTCGTACAAGTTTCAGCTGAAGCTAAAAATAATTGAAGTTAGTTTTAATGCAGAATACAAATATTAAATGTAACTTAATGTCTTGTTCTCTTTTCACTAAAGCAGATATTTTACTGAATACTTAAATATGATTTTGGCCAAAGTAGAGTCTAAGGTGCGACATTTTCAAAAGCAAAGATTAAGAATCTTGAATTTTATCTTCCATGCGAGTAAATAATACAATTTTGAACATTTTAAAAGCATGGCAGAAAACAACTTTTGATCTATCTATACAAATGTATATACATATGTATATACACATATTCGCTGAATTTTCCATAAGACTACCACACCTAAACACCAATATCAAACTTAAGCTTTCCTTTTTTGAAGCGAAAACAAGACAAAATTGATTTCAAGACAATCCTTTTTACTAGCATTTTCATTCTGCATATGTCTTGCCTATCAAAGAGGTCTCACGGTCTCACTGCCAGATTGATCTCCCTTTGACTTGTCACTCAGCTCAATACTGTCCCAGTGACCTCGTCGTTTCACTTACCAGCCTGACCAGTTTTCCCTCTTTTTCCACCACATCCGTTGTCTGCATTTTGCTCTGAAAAAAATTTCAAAATTGTATTTGCATTTTCCGTGCTTTTCTTTTCAGTTCAGGTGGCTTTTAATTGAAATCGAAATTGACTTTGGGGGCAGATGTTCTACTTTTTTATTCGTTTGCGATTCGGACTTACCCTGAGGGGTTTAAGCTTGAGGGGAGATGTGGGGGGATAATGGGCTAAGGCTAAAACACTGTATTTATTTGTTGCAGTTGCGATTGAATCTTGTGGCATTGAAGAGCACCCTATACAGATTGATTTCCGAGATAACTTCTAAGTATGATATCAGTGGCTCTTTAAGTATCTTTGCAGAATTTTACTTTAAAGTTGAAACTTTGATTTTATGGATATTGGAGTAGGGAAAACTAGCACAAAAACTCGTCGGGTTCTAATCCAATGTGGCACATGCCACAAATACATAGACACCCTAAAAACATAGGTAATTTTATTGCAAAACTGTGTCAAAATGAAAATTAGCATCATAACTGCGGTAAAATGTTGTCACGAACTATAAATGCGTATATTGTTAATTAAAAACAGCAGCTAGTCATGGAATTAGTGATGGTTGTGATGATGATACTAAGCCACCCATCAATGATGATTATGACGATTTTATAACCGTAGATTATTATACCAATTAGCCTGGACATTGATTGAATTCCATATAATATTTTCGGGACTTTTTTCCGGGATCCTATTCAATCATTTTTTTGGCAGCATATAAATTACCATGAATAATGATTTAATTTTTTACAGGTATTTAATAAAAATTCATTAAAGCAGTGCCCCAATACATCAAATGAGCTGCTCGGAAAAAGGCTAGAAGAGAAATTTAATTAACTTTTCAAAACTGATTTGCTTGTGAAGGCTTAAACATGGAAAAAGGAGATGGATGGAAAAACTACAACTATCCAGCAAATGGAAACTGATAAATGGATATAGGAAGGTATGGACTTGAAGCTATCCTGTAAAAGGATTTATTTTTGATATCACTCTCTCTCTGTAAGAGAGAATCCAGTGTCCCTTGACAAAAGCGAATGGTTGTTTTTTCCATGAGCTCAGAGTTTTTTCAGATGGTTCAGTGAGGTACACTCTTAGCTGTTTTTGTAAGAAATGTTTGGTCATAGAATCAGATATCAACACAGACCAAAAGAGGCAGCAAAACCATGTTTAATGCGGCATGAAATGCACAATACCATCATTGATTAATGGTTCATCAATAGGGGGAAACTCGTAAATTGAACAAATTTAAACCAGAACGAACAGAAACGCGTCTAAAACAGAATCCAGTCACTTATGACTTGCTACCGCTGGGAAGCTGGCAAAGCGCTGTGAAAATTATTGTTCGCTAATTGAATGTCATCGGGACTATCGACAATTTCAAATTTATATATTATTAAATGCGATTTACATGCAGTTTGCACTTTTTTCGAAGAAAAGGAGGAAGGAAAGACCCTGACAGCGCAGGGAAATGGTTTGACATTTTGTGGAGTGGTTTTCTGTGGAGAAAAATGTGCGTAAACAGCATTAAATTAATCTTGATTTTCCTTCAAACATTTTTTTGTTCTAAATTATCTTCTTAAATATTTGCAGCACTAGCAAATATAAATGTCACGAAAGTTTATTATAAAGGCAAAAAAAAAAAAAAATGGCTGATCAGGAAAACAGAAAGAAATGCAGCAGAAATAAGATGATGAAGGCAAGAAAGCTCTCAAAGGGAATACGAATTTATAATGAGTTTGGGTGGGGAAATGCATTAGGAAGCAGCAAATATCAAAGACATAGAACGAATAAATAATGAAAGTTCTGCAAATGAAGACGCAATATTAAACTGATGTTTTCTATAGCTATATTGGTTTCCTTTTCATATATCTAGTGAAAAACAGGTAACTTAGCTTCAAATCTTTCAAACAAAAAAATTTCAAAAAGTTTTTTACTTTTCTGTTCATAAACTTTTCAAAATAGATCTGTGGTAAATTATTTACCATCAATAAGGAAGTGCAGCACTCTTTTCTATATATTGAGGGACAATCGATTACAGCTCAAAAGTTGAATGAATCAAATAAACGGGAATTCATTGGAAATAAATAGGATCACACATGCAATACAAATTTAAAAAAATTAAAAAATTATATCACCATAAGTTCCCTCAGAAATCTGGCATATTTTCTGGCTCTTAAAAGAAACCAGCACCTTTTGGTTCTCCAACACTTTTTTTTAGCTCAAGTATCAACCCAGTCATAACGACCGACATGACTCAATCCTCATTCCACATGCTGAAAAACAAAAGCCGTAGTCTGCACTCTGCACAAACATTTTGTTAACATCCCGACTGACACTGAAACCGAAAGCCTTTCTCAGACCCAAAAAAAAAAACAACAAGAAAATACAACAAAAGAAAAGCCCAGCAACGAAGAAAAGCAGACTCCAGAGAGACGTTTTATTTATAATGAAGTTCATTTACTTTGTGCAAAAATACGGGAAGAAAACAAAAACGCTTTAGTTTCATGTGTTCCGTTTTGCTTGAAAGGAAGGCAGTGAAAAGGCAGAAAGGAGTGCAAGGACTCTGGCGCACTGATGCTGTCTTCGCGGCTCTGTGCGGAGTACGAGTACAGCTATTGTTTTAGCCGGTTGTTGTTTGCAAGATTAATATGCTGCTGTTTTCCACTACTTATGCTGCCTTTCAAGATGGGGGCCCAACTCCAGGTCCAAGTCCAGCTCCTCCCAACACGTCCTGCCTAGTCACATGTGTGCAAGACTGCTTTGAGAGCAAGCAGGGTATATTGAATATGTGTTGAGGTTGCACTTTTGGACTAGTTTGATTTCCTACTTGGGCCTATATGAACGTTATTTAAATACGAAAAAAACATACCCATTTTTACCTTCTGTTCCGTTATTTTTGCATAGTTTTTCCATGTTGAAAATGTTGAAATAAATTCAATTAAAGAGCATCCCACATACTATCATAATAGATTCTCTACAGGGTTTCTGTCTAATGAGTGTGCGTGTGCGTGGGCTGGTGCTTGATGCTTGATGCCGGTGCTACTGTAGCTCTCATCTCAGTGCGTGTGTTGAAAACTTAAGTCATGAAGGCAGAAGCTAAGGCAAAAGGAGAGCCAGAAGGCAGCGACAGCCAACGAAATACTTTGGCAACGAAAATATTATACAACTACTTTAAAGGAAAGGAAAGGGATTTAATGTGTGCTGTTTGCCTGTATATGTGTGTGTGTGTGTACACAGACTTCGTTCGCCCACTGTGCTGCTCAACCAGATGCAATGAAGCCGAAATGCAGCAGCACTCAACTTAAGCTCCTCTTTCGAGCTTCTCAAAGATCCTGAGGAAAGTCTGAACGGGGCAGGAGAAGTCTCTGCTTTTCTCTGTGCGAAAATGAGCAGACATTTCAGAGGGGGGAGCAAGAGACAAAAAGGGGACCCTCCTTACGTCTTCTGAAATTTTCATTTGCATCGTTTGGCGAGCTTCCTTCCTGCCATAACTGGCGGCGCTCTGTATGCAGTTACACATCACAATTCTCAGTTCGCAGCAAAAGTGGCAGCAGGCCCCAGCCCCAGCCCCAAGCACCCTGCGGCACACAGTTTGTCTTTTCATTAGTTTCGGTTCTTAATGTTATCTTTCTGAGATATCCTTCTGCTCAGATATCGTTGCGAAATTTGAGGTTTTGGGAGGAGTATCCTACACCCAACCAGGGGGCCATTAGCATTACGAGCTTATACTTGTATAATCTATAGGGGACTATACGTGTATGATATTCGTTTTGTTAGGTACAATTTGTTTGATCAAAGCTAAAAGTAATAGAATTGCCATGAGATGCTCTGGAAATATTTTAAATATTTTCTATATATATTTACGTCATGTGCTCTAAGTTCTAAAATTCCAAATGTAAACCTATGTCTCGATTAATTTTGAAGTTCCCCAGACGTTTCCGCACTGCCCTGCGCATTCCGTACACCTCCCTTCCTCTCTTATGGCTGCAATTCGTTTTCCTCCTCGTTGGGGATCTTACGGCTGCGTCTCAGATTCGTCATTACCCTTCGGTGTAATTCCTCCTTCGAGATATTATTATGCCCCACCAAATGTAGAGCATTGCAAACCGAAGTGATTATGTCGTCCACATGAGGCACCTTTGAAGCGAACGGAACCCGCCGCAGACCCGTCCAGATAAGCTTCCTGTCGGCGGGGGATACGGTGGGGGTGGCGGCAATCGCTACCTCGAAGGCCCCCTCCTCCGCCGGTCCGTTCTCGTTGATCCGCAGCTGCAGAACGACGCGCGGATAGAGGGCACGCAGTGCCTCCGCCAGTGAGGCGTGCAGCAGGACTGCGTCTCGCCGGTAATTTTCGCGTAAGCAACAATGGTCAATGTACAGCACCGGCTGATGGGGGTCCAGTGGCATCTGGTCGCTCATTGTTGCGCGAACGGTGGGCAGGGCTGGGCAGGTGGTAAGGCCCGAAACCAGGGGAACAGGTGCAAGATAGAACTTTAGGCAGAGCTCTCAGGTTTCGACAGGATTCTCCTGGGTTGCTGCTTATCTTGGGGGGCCGCCGTCGGGACTTCATTGTGGGGGCACCATCATAAATCAAATAAAAGAGCGTATCTGACAAATAAATCTTCGAGAGTGAAACACCACAAAAAAACAGCGAGCCACTGAAAAGAACATGCAAATGGGCATAAAATATGCAAAGGCCACAAGTCCAAAAAAATGAAATGAAATAAAATACAAGAAAGGTGACTGCAATTCGGGTGTGGAAGCTTCAGATGCCCTAGAAAAGCTATTAAATTGAATTTAAATCCGAATATCAATGAATATAAAGACTATGAATGTATGTTTTTTGAACGACACATTTCTGTGTCACAGAAATATAAGAGAGGGCAATTTTTATACGTTTTATTGGTAGAAATAGTTGGTTTTTTAACTATATTTCCTTTGATATATGTATGTATCCCATTATGACAGTCTATGACTCAAAACAGATAAAGGACATGGCTATAGATCTCTCGTTTACTCAATGGGCTCTGGAATGGATTACAAACCTTTTCTAAAAACAATAATACCGTCCAGAAAAGGGTACCGAAAGATATACCAGAATATGAGCACACATTTTGTATATATCGTCCAGTTTGTGCTGACATTTTGACCTGCGGCGACTCGAAACAAAAAAAAAAAATATATAATTTAAATAAAGGAAATTTTTTGCAAAATTTACCAAAGCTAAAGAGTAAAGAAAACACACCCACACACACAAAAGTGGAAAACTCACTCCATCTCTTTTGCTCTGTATAGAACGTGGAAGAAAGAGAAGTGAGGGGAAAATATATATTTTAATAAACTGAACACAAAGCAGAGTAGCAAAAGCCCTGAGCTCGGTGCCGTGCCCCAGAACCGGCGGCAAGGTTAGCCAGCAGTTCATTCATTCAGTTTTTATTCAGTTTTATTCACAGTTATTGAATGTAGAGCAGCTCCTCTGCCCTCGAATAATATAAAAATAAATATAAAATACGAGTAAAATATTCCCCTTCTACCATCGCTTATAATATTGCAAGCTCAGCCAAGGGTTAGAGGTCGGGACGTGAGCATCGGAGCCGCCTCCGATGGGCCACCGACAGGGCACCGCCAACGACAGTGACCGACGACAGTTGACAGACGCCGCAAATCCTATAGAAAATATATTCAGCCAAAAAGCGTAATGCGGTGGAAAGCGGAGAGGAGATTGCGGTTGGAATTGGAGCTGGAGCTGGGTGGAGTCTTTAGGAGATAGTTGGGACGTGGCAGTGGCAGTGACGATGACGATTGGGTTTGCTGTTCCCTCTGATTGGATCAACATACTTATCCTTGTGTTGGCAAAGCACCTAACAAGGAGTCACAAATAGTCAGAGGAATCTTTAAGAACCAACCACTTTAATATGTTAAGGAAAAACTATTTGACGTTTTGATTTAAAGATAGCTTATGAAAATGTAGTTTGAAAGGGACATCCTCCTTAGAAAACAGGATGTATGACGGTTGGGTGCGAGAGCACCTACAAAAACTTAGATATGTGGCATGACTATGATTGAAAGATAAGGGAACTCTTTTACTCTGTCCTTTCATTCGATCAAAGATGAACTTAAATCCATATCTGCTTTGTCTTCTTTTTCAGTCTGATGCTCGATGCGTTCTTTGGCTGTACAACCCCTTAAAATTTAATGATTTATCATCCACTCTTTTCGCTGGCATATGACGCACTTAAATTTTTTCTTTAAATGTGTTTTTGAATCATGACATTTCCGGGAATTGCTTGTGAATTAATAATGACTGGCCTTAGGTCCATAAACAACAATTTCCAATTTCAGTTTGCTTTAGGATTTTCCAGTTCGTTTAAATACTCGTAAATTTAAGCTAAGCTTAATAAACTTAGCACAATAGCTGAAGAAAAATGATTTATCCTTTAATCAGAAGAAAAAGGAGGATATGGTTCAAAATAAGAGGAGCTTTGAAAAGCTCCTTCTCATTCTCCTTTAAGGCTTACTGAATGTATTCAGGTAATGTAATCAATGAGCACGTTCACCAAGACAATGCATTGTCTTGCAATGTATGGGTAATCAAGGTATTCAATTTTTGAGTTGTGGTGAACGCTTTTTTTGTTGGAAATATTTTTGGTTTAATTTAATTTTAATTTTGGCTATATTTTTGTTCTTCTTTTTTGGATTTACTCTGCTTGTTCGCATCGATATGTCAGCTTTCGCTAAAGACCAAGAGCAATATATAATGGATGAAGAAAAGGTATCGAGCTATGCTCCATTTCTGAAAATTATGATGGATATTCATCCATATGATGCATCATAATCACTTATCCTGTGCGTTCACAATAACTATTGTAAGAAATCCATCATTGATCACAGAACCCCATCTGAACAGTTAATTATTCGCTCATTAGCGCTGATTATTAAGTACTGGAAGCTTGCACAACATCATTTCACACAATTACTAAAAGTCAATATCTATCTATCTGCCTTCAACCAAGGATCGTATCTATGCCAATATTTTAACAGCAAGGGACACGCCAATTTTTAATGAATACTACAAATTTTTAAAGAAAACTGCAACCATAAAAAGACTCAATTAATTTTCACTGCGGATGACACGACACGTCGCGACGTTCCATTTCTCACACTCATTAGGATAATTGTCAACAGTGTCAGGCCGGTGATGGCTCTTGGCAAGGACGCCTTAAAATGGGGGATGAAACTTATAGATGACCGAGTAAACCGGTCAGTGTCCTCGTGCCATTTGTCAATGCCTCAGTTTGTGGCTGCTACAGGGCCTGCGGCGGCACCAGCCTTCAACCTTCAACATTCAGTTTCACTTATTCATTTTTTCTTTTCTCTTTTTTGTAGCTTGCCACAAATTGGCCAATGCGTTTGTTCAGGAATCCAGAGATGCCCCAACAACGCTGGGGATTAAAAAACGTTTTGCATGCCCCTGGCAAGGAGAGAGAGAGCAGAGAGAAAATCTTGGGGCAGCAAAGCTCCACAATGAAAATGCGTAAATGAATTTGCGAAAATAATTCGCCTGGCCGTCGCTTGATTAAATTTTCTTCTACTGCAGAGGGCACACGAGTGTCCGGCGGGCATAAAACGGGGGATGCGTATCCGTATTATTTATAAAATTTCCGGCCTCCGCTTGTTATGGCTCCAAATGAGTTTTCATTGATATACAAACATAGATTGGGGCCCACTCATCGAGGAATTTCCCAGGCGGTTCTACGACCTCTACCATCTCCTGAAAATGTTTATTTCCTTTTTTGTATTTTATTTATTTCAATTATTAAAAGTTTCGGACCGGAACGTTGTCCACAGAAATGCCTGAGAAAACCCTAAAGAAAAGTCGCAAATGTTTTTCTTTTTTTTCCACTGGGGTATGGTTTTTTCCTCCGAACTTCAATTTGAGGCGCAATTTTATACACAATCCCCATGTTCCCTCCCCCAATATTCCACTTTGGATGCTGTTTTTTCTTCAATCCCCTATTTTAGGCACTGTTCTATTCCCAATCCCCAATCTGGGGGCATGGTTTCCCCCTCCATTACTTTGCAGTATCTGTATTTTTTTATTCCACGGTTTTTCCACCATTTTATTCTTCGTGGACTTTGGGCAAACAAAAACATTAACTGCTCAATTGTTTTTAACGCGTCCTGCTTTGTCCCGAAGTGATGGGCTTTAAATTGTTAAGGCTTCCCTCTCTGTCTGTTTCTATTTATCCTCTCTCTCTCTATCTATCTTCCTTTGTTTCTCTCTCTTTCTATGGCTGTGTATCCGTTTCTCTTTCGCTTGTTTATTGCTGCAATTTATTCATAATCAACAGTGTTAGCCTAATTGGTTTGTCAGGCATGCAATCCCACGGCCTTTTGTTTAGTTTTATTGACATTCTGAAATTTGATTTCACCCAGAAGTCGCCATTGAACCGATCATGATTTTTTTTTAGATGAATATATTGTTTTTTTTCTATTTAAATGTGGCTTTTATCAATAAATAGCCCTACGAATTTTAGTGAAATGCACGGCTATGGAATAATTCTACCTAAAACAGAATAATTTTCTTTTCTTTTATTATTTTGTTCTGAAAATATATTTCAATTAAACTTTTTTTCTCCCAACCAGCTATGTACCAATCCAGGGCAGTACACGCATATAAAAGAAATTAAAGTCCCCAAGTAATAATTCATCCATGAATTTCCTCCGAATGCATACGGCAAAAGCAGGTAAGACTTTTATAACTCATTAAATTTCCCGCACAACGAAATCAACAACTGGAACAGCATTCTACTTGATATATCTTCTTTTATAATACTTTATTTTTGCATTATCATAAATTTCTTTGCGGAAAAGCAGAACAATAAATTCCATTAGCCTCTTCTCATATTTGCTTTTGGGGCTTCGCCACATTTCCCGCACACACTTTTCTACCAACGATATGCGTTGTCTTCAACAGGTAAACGCTTTATGTGTACCGTATTTTCTGTCTGCTTTCTTGCATTTATAATTAAATATTTTCTTTTCAATTTTTATACCACAAAAGAGGCACGGTCGATGGTCTGGGTTATCCAGAGGCTTTCCAGATGCTGTCCAGAGGCGTGGGTGTAGTCTGGGCTTACCATGGGCAGGGTTTTCAGTTCATTGTGATTTTTAAAGTGTTTTGTTTGTCTTTAATTAGATGTTTATGGCCTGCCGCTTATCTCTGAGCAGTAGGAATTTATAGAATGGGGGCTCGGAACCAAAGGAAAATATGGAACAGGATAAGCGTGTGGGCGGTTCTCCCCTGACTTAATGACCAATTGGCGGGTAGTGTGGCAGCAGTGGTGGTGCGTGCAGGCGTTTGTTTGTATGTTGTGCCTGTGTTTGATATGATTAATTACCTAATTATTGCATTAGATTACTGTACAGCTGTGGCTATTACGGTTATAACTTAAAGTTCGTCCTGCGGCTATAATTGCTACCGTTTAATCACTGCAAGCCAGCCCCAAAGTCAATTGATTATCCATGCCGCTTAGGGTCA